CTCTCATCTCCTGCTTCTCTTGCCTCCCCTTTCTTCTCTTCAGCGTCTTAATCTTCCTCGTTATTGTTCTCAGTAGTTCGCTCATTCATTCACCAGGGTCTTTCCTTTGCTTGGTACATTTGCTAATTGTTGTGTTCGAGTTAAATTCAAGTTTTTTGACTGGAACAACTTTGCATGATTTTCTAAATTATGATAATTTAATGCAAAGTTGGCATTTTTAATGGACTTTCAATGCAACGTTTAGAGAAACTTTGCATTAAAAGTGCGGTAACACTTTATTTGAAGGGGGTTGAATAAGACTGTCATGACACTTTCATAAACATGACATAACACCTGTCATGAACATGAATAAGCCTTCATGAATATTTATTACTGTTGTCATAAAGCGTCATTCAGTAAATTATGACACTTTTAATACAAAGTTGACATGATTCAAAATGCCGTTGTTATGACAACTTGACATTAACCAAGAAATCATTACTAATATAAATTTGTTATAAAAGTATTACTGATTTCACTTTAAAAATTAGGTAACTTTATGTTATTAAAGGTAAAGTTTAAACAGTAATGATTTCTTGGTTAATGTCAAGTTGTCATAACAAAGACATTTTGAATAATGTCAACTTTGTATCAAAAGTGTCATAATTTACCGAACGCTTTATGACAACAGTCATAAATATTCATGAAGGCTTATTCATGTTCATGACAGCTGTTATGTCATGTTTATGACAGTATCATGACAGTCTTATTCACCCCCCTTCAAATAAAGTGTTAGCAAAAGTGCTATTATTTAACATGTCATGTTTTTGACAGTGTCATGTCAGTCTTATGCACACCCCTTCAAATAAAGTGTAACCGATTATTTTAGCATTTTGTCTCCAGACACACACATTTGGCCAGTGCCGCGCTCATTAGGAGCCTGCAGTCATGCATGTCTGTATAACTGTGACTCACAAGGAAAAGTGTATAGAAGACAGCGCCGCTGATTGGGCATGTATCGGCCTCTGGGGATGTCTTCAGCCCCGTCATCTCCTGATATCTCTTCTTTCCACTCACTTAGCTGATTAGGAGCTTACAAAGCTCATCTGTCTCCACTTTGCTGCTGCTTTTGGGCCGACACGAAAGTTCAGACTGAAGAGGCAGAGCTCGTACCGGGAACGATGAGAGCATCAGACCCGGCAGGGTCACAGTGTCTCTTCTCTGAAGGAAGCGTCCGGCTTTCTTGCTGAACCTTCTCGCAAAGCTGCTTCCTCTCATACGTATTTAAAAAACAATTTCCGAAGACAAATCGGTCAGCTCATTTTCGTTTCTTGGTTTGTTTGTAATTTTTTTTTTTTTTTGCTAAATAAATGTTGGGGAATTTCTGCAAAATTAAGTGTTTAAAATGACGAATCCTTGTTTTACAATCTACAAAAATGCCTTTATCTATGAGGCTAAAACTGTTCTGACCAATGGGACGTCCCTCTATAGGACGAAGTAATCCAGATATTCCCACATAAGGGGATACTTCTAATCTGTGTAGGTCAGATTACAATCTGACACAGAAAACTGTTTCAGAGGAGCAGAAAGAGTAATCTGAATCTAGTACAATTTTCCTCTCAAGTAGTTGCGCTGTGTTCATCTCTAATCCTTGTGTGTGGACAACGTTTAGTAATTCCGTCTTTATAGGCAAAATTTCCTCACAAATCTTCATTTTAAAAGCTCAGGGTTACCAAAACAACTTCGCAGAAAGTTCCCAGGGACATAATGTCCGTACGCTTTTCCTCACGTGATCCGTACAGTTGTAATGTAACCCAAGAACTGCAGGCAGCTCTGCTTCTCTCCGCTGCTGACTGGGCAGAGTGGCAGCCGAGGCAGATGTGACTGCAGCAGGAGGGAGGATGCTGCTCCTTCATCCAAACTCAGCCAAGTTGGCAGCGCCGAGAGAACGCCGCATTCTGCATTAAAAGTAAACAGTTGCTTTTAAATTTACGTCCTATGAAGTAGTTTCTGTTATATTTAGAAAAAAAAAAAACATTAGAAACACAGTGTCTGATTTGGGAGCATTTTGTATAAATTGATGTATAATTTGAAGGTTGTTTTTTTTTTCTTATACCTACTCCATGTTGGATTAGATAATTAGATGACTTTGAGTCATCTAATATAAACCATATGTGTGTCTTTTTTCGGCCCCTGTTAACTACTTTAAAAATGAACTTTTACCTTCATACGCTTTTCTAGCCAACCAATTTTACTCCAAGAGAGAATCGATGACTCAGAAAAGAATCCAGAACGAAATCTAAAGCATCGCAGTTAAATTCACTTTCACTTGTTCTTATTCTCTCCATGAGAGAATTATGAGCTAAAAAAAAAAAGCCAGTGTTGATCAAAAGTGTGAAACCTGTTGGCAGGTTTCTGGTCTGTTTTACTTCTCTGTGACAACTTGCTGTACATAATAAAACCATTCATTTTGCTCTCTTCAGATTTCAGAAGGAAAATATCCAACCATGGGGATGAGACCTTAACTTTAAGCACACTCTGGCTTTGCATTAGGACAAAGATCCAAAATTCACCAATGGTATACCTCAAAGTGGCTAAAAGATAAGGTTTTGGAGTGGCCTAGTCAAAGTAGTGATTTAAATCAAGCTGGAATGACACGTGTGGAGCTTAAGCCAATATTAATTCTCAAAAAACCTTCCACTGTGGCTGAATTAAAATGATTTCATCATAATATCTACACAATTCATGGAAAAGACTCTTTGCCAGTTCATGCCAATCTCAAAAGACATTGTTCCTGTCAATGATTGTATAATCATTTAAAAAGACTGGAGCCAAATTACTCATTCATATGTCACAGTGTTGGCTTTTTCTTTCTAATAAAAAATAAATCATCATTTAATAGCTGCATTTTGTATTTACTGGTTACTTTTTTAAAATGTTGAAGTGAGAATCAGAAATGTTTAAGTATGAAAAAGAGAAAAAAAAGATGACAAAGGAGAAGAAATATGAAATGCAACAAACAGTCACTCCTTTCCTGTAACTGTGTTCAAAAGAGTAAGAATGTTCCCTCCATCTTATTATAAACAGCCAAGCATTACTTCTGCATGCTACCATCTGAAATCTCTCTTTCTCTGCAAAACAGTCAATTTTGTTTACATCAAAGCTTCTCCTTTTGTCAGAAAAGTGCTTTTGCAAATGCTAATCCGCTTTGAAAACCAGCGCTGAGGTCAATTGTGATTTATTTTTGCTAGTGCTGTCAAGGGCTGTATATTATATTTCACTAAAAGAAGAAAAAACATAAATAAATGAAATATGGTTCTGAATCATTCACTTCCTTTATTTAACTAAATACAATCCCCAAACAAACAAGAACATCTGGATGCGCATGAAAGGCAGAAGTGGCTAAGAGAAACATTCGGATATTTATGACTTCATAACCAGATGAAGATCTGAATGAGCTCATGGATTAGGTCACGCACGCAAAAAGATCAACACTGACGGCCTCAGCGCAGCAGCCCATGACAGGAAATACAGCTGTGATCAAGATCTATTAGCTTAAGTCGAAACAACAAAGCACAGATGAGAGGGCAGCCGATGGAACAACGAGCGAATTGACGGAAGCAAAGAGAAAACTCTGGAGATTCTTCAAGTCTGCAATTGATTTGAAGCTGCGCTTCTCAGGCGGCGTCTTATTCTGGCCAGCAGCAAGTTACTGTGGGAGCTGCTGCAATAAATCAAGCTCTTGACAAACAAGACAGAATGTTTATGCCAAAGTCAGGACTTCACAAAATGATTTATTTTAATTTATGACTGATTTGTGTTCCTTAGGCAACCATGGGAACATCTGCACGCAGGAGCTCCAACAAAAGACTTCTAATCGATTTAGACGTGATTTAGTTAAAGTGACCAAGTTTAAACACGTTTTTTTTTTCTTTTTTTAACATCATAATTTGTCTTTAAGGTTTTTGTGGACTCAGTCCCACATTCCTTAAAATGTCCCATAAGACTTAATTGTATTTAAACAACCTCTGTGTTACTTTTCTTCAAAGGAAAACAACAGAACTTGTGTAAATTGATGAGCTGTGCAGCACAAGCCACCTTAAAGTGGACACCAACCTGAAGCTTATTCACCCGTGATATAATGTGTTTTATATTCACCTTAGGTAACTCCTGCAGCACTAAAATAAATAAATAAATAAAAAAAAAAGGCACAAAACATGACAACATTTTTGATTTGAATGAATTAATCGAAAAGTTTCATAGAACTGTACTGTCTTAATTCCCTTCTACATGGGAAAACATTCCATCTTTCCTCATCTTAAAAATGAACACTGCTAGGTTAATCCCCATAGTCAACCAGATTTAGACTCCTTGTTACCCCTCTGTGCTTATCTAAGACATACAGGCACCCCATTTGTGTTTGGTTATGGAGAGACAGGATGCAGAGCTGATACAGGCTGGTGCAGTGGTCACTTTTCTCAGCAGACTATAACTCACACTGATCATAAAAGATCAATGTGAGTTTATCTATTGTTGTTCCACTGTTTGTTGTCCTACAGTGAAGAAAAAAAACATGCATTTTTATTACACACAAATCTAAGATGTAGCTCATGTTAAATATGAAAAAGAGCCACAACTCAGAAGCAATATTGTTACAATAAAGTAAGAATATATTATGATAGCTTTTTTGCTGTGCTGTCAACTTATCATTGATTGGTTTGTACACTCCCTTGAACACACACAACCAGTTGCTTTATTCACATGTTTCACGGTTTGTTTCTGATATTGCCTGAATTTTGAGGGGGGGAAAAATGATGCGGTTATTGTGAGTTTAAATTAACAGGGAATATTTGGACTTTTATTAAACATGTGAGGAGCTACACTATGTTCACACCAATTCATCAAGAGAAAATAAAAAATATGTTTCTAAAAAAAACAACAACTACTAACTATAATTTCCCGAAATATAAAAGTATTGATTAACTATGAGTTAAACGCAATCATACCTTTTCAGTGAACAGAAACTTCAAAATCACGTCACCTGTTCATGACACGTCACTAAAGTTTATGCTAAATTAAGTGCTAAAGGCACTGTGTTTGTAAATCTTTATAGTTTCTCAGTGAAGTTGCCAAAAAGAATAAGAAAAAATGTAAATTCACTGGCTTGGTTCTCCACGAGCCAGAGATTGAGATCCTTTAAATCTTGTTTACGGTCCTGCTTTGTGTTCACCTGTGAAAACAGAAATAGTCTGTGCCCCGTGTGTCGATGTCCGTGCGCGCGCGTTCCTGTGCGCGCGTGATCGCGGCGGCTCTTTAGTACCTTGGACAGCGCTCGGCGCCACAGACACATCTGTGAACCGGGAGCGGGGACTTCCACCGACCGTCTGGTATTTGCGCAAACATTTTACTCAGAGGATGTCTCTTCTCTTTTGAATAGTTTTTGAGAGTTCACCACTTCTCCTTTGCAAGTTCCTTTATGACTTTCTGTGCCCGTGCGGACCGATACTAGCGGCTAAGCCCTCGCCATCCCGCTGGAGACGCAACCAGCGGAGCCACGCCGCCTTTGGAACGCCGAGAAGCGGGATCCTCTCTCGCCGTGAGCTCGCCTCCTCCCTTTGGAGCTGGAGAGATGCCCGGGGGAGGATGTGCTCCAGCCGCAAGATCCTGTGGAGCCTGCTCCTGCTCTCCTTGGTGGAAGTGGGCCTGGGTGTGGCGAGCATCGTCTTGGGAGCGGTGGGCATCATCTGGGTGCGTGGGGAGCACCCGCCTCAGCAGGGCGACGCTTCTCCGGTGTGGAGTGGACTCTGTGTACGTGAACTGCTGTCTTCACTTTTTTTCTGTTGTCTACTTCCAGAGTGGATAAGTACACGCGGAAAGCGTGGAAGGTTGAGAGCTCCAACTATTTGCCTTTCTAGAAAAAGACATATGAAAATACGATTTTTGCTCAAATTTGAAAGCAAATTTAAAAAATGTGGTATCTAACAGAGATGCTTTTAATAGCTTACTGGCTTTATTGTAAATGCAATAGACACGTAATGGATATGGTTAGATGCTAAAACTTTAAACTTGCAAACACTAAAATGAAACAGAAGAAAACAGGAAAAAATATATAAATAAAAACGAATTAATTAAAACAACTAATATACATGCAAATATTAAAACATACATTTTAAACTTTCTATTGTTATGTAATCCTGTCGTGCTTAGCATTATCTTAAAAAGAAAGAGAGAAAAAATGATGTGCTATTTGACCATACTGTCAAAGATGCACTCCCTCAACCATTTAGCCTCCTTCTCTGAAGCTAAAGATTGGTTTTATTAATTCATGCTTGACTTGGTCCTCACAGCGCTGCAGAGGGTCAAAGCTTTTACAGCCAATCATGCTCCCAGGCTTCTGCACGTCTCCTCTTGTTACTCGTGTTATCCTCAGCATCACTGTTTTGATGCCACTGCTGGACTGTAAAAAGTTTGGTTTCGGACAAACTCCCAGAAGTTTACAGACATTAATGCAACCACTGCTCCAGCTAAGGAAACATCACCTATCTATCAATTGCTAACCCTTGCGGTTAGAACGAATGTGTTCGTTCAATCAGGGCAACTCAGTCTGGAGACTCTAATAGTCTATCCAGGTATAATTTGTTGTTTTGAATCAGAAAAGTGAGAAGAAAAAAATCTAACTAATGATTGAATGCTTGCAGGCAGGGCAGTTAGTGTGCATACCTCTGCAGTACTTTGCGTGATGGACATGTTGTGCAATGTGACACACGTGTTCAAGAGCTACAGCTGTCTGGTGAGTCAGTCATCCTGGAGATTGATTGATTGATTGATTTGACTGAAAAAATTGGTTGATTATCCAGGATTTTTAGGGGAAGATTCCTGCTGAAACTCCATCATTCTCCACCTGAACAGGCCTCCCTGGTAAACATGTGTATAAAATCCTTAAAATAAATGGTTGTTATGGAGACTGGGTTGCCCAAAGATGTCACTCTTTGCTGTACCTCTCTAACGGTGAGCCTTTGGAGATTTTCTTCACCCACTTTTACCATCATTTCCCTCATTGTGCATGGTGGCAGGATAAACTTGGAGTCCCATCCAGCTTTGTTTGGCAAAGTTCCTCAAGCTCCTAATTACTTCGCAGACCGTAGCTTTTGGTGAGCAGATATTTTCCTGTAATCATTTTCCAGCTGATGTAGATTAGCGCACATTTGCTTTATCTGAATGTTGTCGGGTTTTTTTTTTTTTGTTCTTTTTTTGCTTTAGTTGTACCCATTTTGGAGAGCAGGCCAAAAATGTCAAGTCATATATATTCTCCAGGACAACAGGAGCTCATTGATTACAAAAATTAAAATCCTTACACATTCTAGACAAGCTTAAGTTGCAGAGACACATCTTTTAAAATGCCACTTGGTGCGGCGACATTTGATTAGTGGATATGTCTTTTCTTTATAGAGTAGTTGTTCTCATTTTAAAGACTGGTTTTACATATTACTGTATTGAAACAATCCATCCATCCAGTCACTGTTGTCCATTTAGGGCCTCAAGGTCCTGGAGGGAAACACAGAGACATCCGTCTCCTTGGCAACACTCTCCAGCTCATTGTAGGGTTTAGATGTTCCCTATAGGCAGAAGGAATCCAATGGGATAAACTCTTCCTGCAAAGTTTTGGGACTGGAAATGGGGGCTAGGCTTTACTTTGGAAAACCTCCAAAGGGGAGGGATGCTGATCAGATACCAGAACCACCTCAGTTAACTCCTTTCAATGCAGAGTGGTTCTATTCTTACCTCCACCTGGATGATGATCCAACTTCACCTCCATCCACCTGCTTGTATCCAAGATCTTGCTCTTTTGGCCGTGATCATTTCATCGCGACAGTAAGTCGAGGTCCAAGCATAGATAGATAGAACAGTGAATAAAGAGCTAATAGCTTTATTGCTCTGCTGTTTTTTTCCATTGCAATAACTCGGAGCAGGGCTCACCTTACTGCAGACAAATCCCTCATCTGTGCATCCGTCTCCTGCACCATCCTGAGAGAAAAACATTAAGATACTTGACCTCTTCAACATTCACTCCTGCTGGGTCTAGCTCCAGGAAGATGCCCCTAATTGTGAAAAGTGCTCTAAATGTTTCCATTCTTTGAAGAGCAAACTAAATCCGAAAATATTCCTCAGAAGAGTACGAGTTTTAAAATGTACAGACCCCAGATCTATAGGAGGAAATTTCATGTATTTATTTCTATGTTTGCAAAGGTATTTGTGAAACAAAGGAATAAGTCATGCTACTTTGGAGAAATACAGCATGTGAGAAACTTAGGATTATAAAAAAAACAAGCTGCATAACACACACAGAAAGAGCCTAATAAATAAAACAAAAACATAAGATTGCTTTGTAGATATTCTTTTACAAAACAGTAAAGTCCAGAGGAACTATAAAATGAGGAAATATTAAAGTTTAATGACAAATCTTCAGCGTTAGCTGAAAGTAGGGTAATTCTTTTGCGTTTGCATATTTCCAATAAAATCTTGTACACAGGGACTCCGACCGAACTTGACACAGGAAATAGTAGTTGACGAAGGAGAGCTCACATATTCTCACTGCTCCTTCCAGCAAAACAAATACAACACACAGCTTGCTGATCTGTCTCTCTGTGAGCTTGTTCTGCCAGCATAATGCACCCTGCAGTTTACTCTAAATTACTTACATCCGGGACAAATGTGGCTTTCTGCCACGGCACATTATTTTAGGAGAAAGAAAATACATGCGAGGGAAGAGAGGGATCTCCTTTCCTGTTTTCAGGATTTGGGGGGGGAAAGGAGTAAAAACCACAAAAAATATTGTAGTAATTTTACATGTGCGGAGCTTGATTCAAGTTTTAGTGTTGCTAATTAAGATTTTGATTCTTCTTCTTCTTCTTTTCCCAGTTTCTGCTCTGTGGGATGTGCGGAGTGCTGTGTGCCTGGAAGAGGACAGGTCTTATTGTAAGTGCTGTAAAGTTGTCCCACAAAGACCCATTAACTTCTTTTTCTTTTAGTTTTTTTCTGTCCTCTAGATTGTGACCTAAATATGACAAAAGCTTTTTCTTGTTCCAACACAAGACAAACTCGTCAAAAGGCCACGCAAGCTGTAGGTTATGCACGATGTGCGCGTGCGGCAGAAACCAGTCGGTTTGAGCAGCTCTTCTTCAAAACTTATTTCAAAACCCACACTTGTTATTTGTGAAATGCTGCTGATTTAATTTATACAAAAAAAGGCCACGTGGATGTGTGGTTTCTGAAGGGATTCAACCAGGTTTGACCCCTCAGACCTCAACGTCAGATGAAATTCCGTCCAGCGAAATAAACGCTGCGATCTCTGGCAATTCTGACGCACGCGCATTGAATTGTTCGGATCCCCCAACATGTCAACCCATTTCTCATCCTGATGGGCCGCTCCTGAAAATAGCCCGCTGAACATGTGCCAGGGATGCACATGTTTCTTTTTACTCCATCCCTCTGGGAACAGAAAACCCCCTTCCTTCAATGTTGAAAAACATGTCATATGAATCTGCAAAACTCACAAATCCGGACATGACATGCACTCAGAATGTTTTCAGTTGGATTAAGACGGAGGCCCCTTAAATCTCTGTAAGGAAGGATTTATAGATTAATTGTACTCATAAAATAGTTGTCTTAACTTCAGAATACATCTCCCTTTTCATAATTAGATAGGGCTCATATATTTTAATATATACAGGGATATTCACTAAATTTGAAAGTTATTGAAAAGTTAAATTAAGTAACTAAATTCACTGACTTATTGATAAATTGCACACCGATTGACGTCTTCAAGTCTTTATTTCTGTTAATTATGATAAAATAATAATAAAATAAACATCTTAGTACATAAATCTGGGTGCTAAATGAAAAGTATGTTTGATACCAGCTTAAAGGTTGTTATTTAGAAAAATGTGTGTATAATCTGACAAACGAAGCGCATCAAAACAAATTTTAAAATCTAATGAACTAATTGTGTGTATAACTGCATTTAAAGCGCACAGAGTGTTACCAAAGAGACCTTAAAAACATACACAGAGAGTGTTCTGATATCTGAGGAAATCAGAGGAGGCAAGCAGTCACCTCTCTTCTCTTCCTGTCACTCTTTCAACCTCTTTTTTTTTTTTTTTTTTTTACAGCCAGTGTGTCTCCAAGTCCTTGTGCTCCTCTTTGACTCCGTCTCCTGCAGGCAGTGCAGTAATGATGGATCAATGTCAGTCCGATCTGCTGTAACCGAGACATCTCTGTGTCTCACCCTGTCTGTCCCGAGCTTTTGTCTTTCTCTTCATATCTCTCCTGTTCCTCGCTCCGATATGTCTTTCTGCCTCCCCTATTATGTCACACCATCGCTGTCAATCCGGTGTCCCCGCTCCCTCCGTCTTCCCCTTTTCATCTTCCTCCATTACTCCCCTCCCTCCCGCTCCGCTGCCTGTGGGGTGATGATTGCATTAGCTCGGTTTGGCTCCGGACCCCTGCCAGCCGATTTCCACACTTCTCCGGGTAATGACTGAAATCCGAGATGCCCTTTTGCATGCGGTTAAAGGCACTAACGGCATCTGTACTGGGAGCAATGAGACAATACCTGCAGTGCAGGAGCAAAACACAAACACACACACACATATGCATTTTAAATCAATGGACAGTATGATTGTATGAGTGTGTTGTTCTGAAAGCAGAGTAATGGAGATGCAGTCATTTCCCAGTTGGAGTCTTTCGGGAAAATCTCAATCTCAAATGGGGATTGAAGTTTTGCTTTGGCCCATCAAAGTTCAAACCGGGTTCGTCCATATATGAAGTGATTGATATGACAATACTCAAAACGAAATCCAACCAACAAACATCAAGCCCCCTCATCCACAATCAACAGCTAGCAACTGATGTAAGCATATTCGCAAGCTTTGCAATATGTCTGGAAGACACAATCTGCTGTGATAGAAATCCAATTTTCCAATGAGAAATGGCATTTATTTTGTCTGATTTGCGTCACTCATCGCCACAGCCGTTGTCTAATATGGGAAAATAATTCAGATCAAAGCTCCTCTAGTGATCGTTCTGCTCATGTGATATCAATTAACTGACATGAAAATGAATCTTTATGTGTCTGTGTGCTTTTCCCAGATGATCCTCTTCTCAGCATGCTGCATCTGCGGCCTGATCGCCGGGATTCTCAACTTCCAGTTTGTTCGGGCGCTGAACAAACGGCCAAACTCGTTGCAATCGATCCACCTGGCTGCCATGACACTGGCCTGTCTGGGTAAATAAACAGAAACCTGCATGACACAACATGTTATGATGCAATGGAAGGCAACTGGCAAAGAGTTGTTGTGTCTGAAACAATAGACGTGTGCACGACTGTAAACTGGTGGGGGCTATCATACAAGAAAATAAAGTGCTCTCCTTTATTGGAGCCTGTGGTAAAAGTTTTGTACACGGATTTAAGTTAAGTCATCCGTTTATTGCAGTAACCTTAAAGTGAACTGCTATTTTTAGCAAAATTATGTCTTGGTGATCGTAGAGCATTTTAGGAAAAATAACTGTTGGGAAACTAGCTGTCAAAGCAAAACATTGTGGAATCCCATGTTTCTAAGAGGTCAAACGTTTATATTTTTTCTATAGCATTTCACAAGAGTTTAGCTTTAATTTTTCCAACATCCTCAGTGTTTTCTGATGCACTCTTTTCTTCAGATGTCTATCAACATCCCCACATCTTGACTTGGTCATGTTTGTCCTCTCTACCATGCAAACACTCTGAAATCCCTCAGATTGTGAGGACGCCTCCTATCCACAGCCCGCCTCGTGTGACGCCAGAGATTTCATTCTGTTTTTTTATGTACTCTTCTCCTGACTGGTACCTTTCTAAAGGTATTAGTTTAAGATTGCGCAATCAATCAATCAAGTTTATTTGTATGCGACATTTCAGCAACAAGGCAGTTCAAAGTGCTTTACATCATAATCCAGGTAGAAGGTTATCTGATGACCTGATATGAGAATATAGTTGATAAAAATGAGTGGATCAGGCACAGAACCTTGGAGAACACCATGGAACAGAAGAATCTGGCATCAAAATACTCAAGGTGCAATGACCTTTAAAGTGTGTCATAAAAATAGGCCCAAAGTATCATTAAGTTAAAGTTTTTCAGTCTACAAATTTCCCTGGTGTCTGTCTACTTGTGTCGTCTTAACTAGACTAGTTCTGCATCTCAAATTCTGATTAACGCTCCGCATCCTGAGCAAATGTGGCAAGTCTATTCACACCGACATGTCCAGGAAATCACATGCCCACTCTGAAGTTAGGATTTGCAAATTAACTTTCCAAAAGACACGTTATTGGTGCATTGTCGCAGACATGTTTCATCTCATTTTGTGTGACTTCCACACAATGCATTGTTGAATATATTCTCATTTCTTATTTTCTTTCAAGAGGAAAAGTAAAGAAAAGACAGGAGTTATCAGAGCTTGAAGAAATTCTCCGCTGGGAATTGTGAATTTATTCTAAAAACCATCCCGTCTTTTCCAGGGATCTCAACCTGTACCTTATCCACATGGCTTACCTGTCGACTGGCCAGCTCTGAGCAGCAGCGGATGTTCATGGAGAGGGAGCACTCGCTGCACCATTCGCACGAGATGACAGAGAAGGTAAGACTAGACTGCTGAAAGAAGACAAACATAATGCCTCTGAAGGGTAAAACAAAACATCTTTGGGATAAGTGTAAAATACGCCTGTGTGTCTCCTTTTCAGGAGGTCCTTGACAACTCGAGTAACGGCATTCCTCAGGTCTCCTACAACGGACACACTTCGCCGTCACCTTGACAATTTCACAAGCACCAAAACAAAGACAGTTACTGCAACATTATCTGCGGGACAGAAGGTTCAGCTTGCGGCTCACTCGACATATCCCTCTGTCCTGTCCTGAATGCAAAAACCGGACCAGGGCGCTCACCTTGGAAATCCTTACTACTGTCAGAGAGACAAACGCAGCATTAGGACAGCTGTCGTGCTTCTGAATTATTATGCAGACACTGGTTCAAACATCCTCAGCTCAAACCAAAGCAAGGATGCTGAACTTTTGTTTGGATGACAGCTCAGGTGAACATCTTTGTGACCTCTCTCTCTTAACGTTAATGAGCAGGCAGGGCGGATTTTCCCCTCGAAACAACGAGCACAAAGTTAGCATGCGGCTGATCCATATGTATCGAAGAGCTACTGCAATTTCAGTCTCACTGTCTTAACTCAATCTCTCTGTCTAGTAACCAGTTTAATGAATGCAGTCTGAGATAGTCAACAGTAAACTGTATGTATTGTCTGATGATGGAATGCTTTGACATGATAACACAGCAAATGTACTGTACCATATAACAATGCTTGTATAATAAATTGTTATTTTTATAATGCTTCTTATAAAGTTACATTAAATAAAGTATGGCTAGCCTATGACGACGGATGTCTTTGATCATTTTTGTCTTTATTTTTGCAGCAGTGTTGGAATGATTAATGCAGTTGTTTTGACGATGTACTTTTTTTTTTCTTTTTGCACTTTTGGTTTCTGCCTTTTAAAATTTTTATGGGTGCAGTTTTTGCCTACTTTTGTTTTTTTCTTTTGTTTCAATCATACAATCATAAACACTGACCTTAACAGAGAAATGTGGGGCCTGTAGTACATTGCATTTTGTTGTGGGTTCTTCCAAAAACCTGCTGACGACTTTGTTTCTGATCTATTCTTGAATACCAGTTAGGTTTGGACTTCTTCCCCGCCCCCTTTTTTTGTATCTAGTGAGGCTGTATTTGTTTTATTTTATACTTTGAATGAATTCTTAAATGAGACAAAGAGGAAATTGGTATACTCTCATATTACTTTATAGGGGTGTCTAGTTTCTGGAGTTACTATGTTGTTTTTACAGAGTCGGCTCATAGCACAAAAGCAGTGAAGAAACCTAAACTACTCTGCATTTTCTGTGGCCGACAGGCTACAAATGATTTATAAGCACTGTGGGGATATTGCAGCTGGGTGAGTTGTTGCTGCCAATGACGTCTAAGTTGGCATCTGATTCACAGCTTCACGTTGGCGCATGGTTACATGGGTGTTTGAAACTTCATTGAGTCTGGACTGTATTTGATCGTCTGTAGTTCAAGAACTAGACTAATAATACTTTAACAAAATTATGGAACTGATCAGACATTGTTTAAAATGAAGTTGTGTTTGATGAAAACTTTAATATATCAGTGAAAACACAAAACCTTTCTGACGCCTTTTAGAAATTTGGACCAACTTAGAGTTAGATATAAATGGAAACCAGGATAAAGTGGGAGGGGTTGAAAAACAACTATTCTATTTTAAAAACAGATAATTAAGGTGCTTTTTTTCAAGAAATTTTCAATAAAATCATGTCTCACTCTTGTAAACCCAGTATTGCCTCATCTATTAAGCTAAATATATCCCCACACATGTAACTGTCTGAATCTGTTCATATTTTAACATGTTTTAATCAACTTTAAGGTGTATTTTTGGGAAGGAATAGTGACCATTCATTAAAAAAAAACAGTGTTTAACTTTTGAGCGGCGTAAATAAAAAAATCTGAAAAGTGTGGAAAGCATTTATCTTCCCTTGTCGTTCCCCCAGAGATGCCTCTAAATGAAACCCCAGTGCATAGAGTTGAGTCAGTGATTGCAAAATTCTGAAATGTGTAAAAAGTTAAAATCACACGAATAGGTTTCTGAAACAACTTTACCGCAAATAATGTAAATATTTGTTTTCATGAAAATTTCTGGATCTACCAAACACCCAGTTGAAAAAGCACCCTCCCTGCATGTCTGACTTTTGGCACTGTTCGCGCCTTCCACAGCAGATATAAACTCAACAAATAAAGTAAATTTGGTTTATAGCTGCTGTAAAACCTGCCTTGAGGAAATGCTTCAGAAAGCAAGATGGGAAACAGCAGCACACACACACACACCACTTCAACCTCTTGTGAAGACATTCAGTTGCTCTAACAACATCATGCTGCTCAGTACTTAATTATGAATCTTTATGTACACTAAGAGGTGCGTGTGTGTTTGTGTACACGGCTGATGTGTGTGTTAACTGCTTTCTCTAGAAGCTGCTGGGACCTCTTGCTGTTTCGGAAATCACGTCACCATTCATCACTGTGACAACAGACAGGAGCCGGGCCCCTGACAGCACCAGATCTGCAGTCAGTGTGTGTGATAAAGAGAGAAACGCTGAATCATGCGACCTCCTGCGGTGCTGCCCTGTCAGAAAACCGTAACACTAGATCTGTGTGCGCCCAAGTGTCAGGGTAATTTTCAACCCGTGAGTCTGCATGGGTCTCAGTGTAAGTAAGCATGCAAGGGTGCACTAGTTGCACTATCTGACACCCCAGGTCACCCTAATGATCTTAATGTGAAGGCGATACGGAATCAATGAGCGTCCAATCAAGGCCAGCACAAGTTGAGGATTACATAATGAAGGGCATGGTGTAGCTGCAACTAAATGAACAATGACGCTTTTGGTTTGGTAGCCTGTTTAGTTTCTTTAGATGTTGCTACAAAATAATCCATTGGACCTTATAAATGACCTTATAAATATATATATATATATATATATATATATATATATATATATATTCCTCAGAGAGGAATTGGAGAAGCCTGGAAGGTGAAGACCACAGTGGTGCCTGTGGTCATCGGGGCCCTCGGGGCAGTCACCCCCAAACTGGAGCAGTGGCTCAAACAGATCCCAGGAACAACATCAGACATCTCAGTCCAGAAATGTGCAGTTCTAGGCACAGCCAAGATACTGGAGGAACCCTCAAGCTCCCAGGCCTCTGGTAGAGGACCCGAGCTCAGAGGATGAAAGAGACCACCCGCGGAGGGTGAGAAAGGAATTTTATATATATATATACCCTCCACCCTCCGCGGGTGGTCTCTTTTTCATCCTCTGATGAAATTCTAATTGCCATCAAAAGTCAGACCTGTTTTGCTGTACAAAAAGGTTGCATGACTGATTTTATTAAATCGAGACAGGATCTGGCATCAAACATGGGCCACTTCAATGGGAATGGGAGCCTGTGTTTGTATTTAGCCATTTCTATTATTTGAAAGTTTTAATAATCATTTTTCATTTTCCTTCAACTTTAAAATTATCTCTTACTTTCCTAGTCTACAACATAAAAATCCCAATTAAATACATTGTAATTGTTGCCATGCAGAAAATCCTCAGGGGGAGAATACTTTTGCATGACACTGAACTGTTCTGCTGCTTAATTTTATTCCCAGATTACTGTACTAGATTAACTGGGGCAGTATGTAGCTACTTTCATATCATATGTTAGTTGAAAGCTTGATTAGAAATACAAAAATAAATTAAATCAATAGCAGAAGACAATTATTCAAGAGACCACATTTGTGCATTTATTAAATGTATTGTTTTTTTGTTGTTGTTGTTTTTTTGACATGCAGGATTGACTCATGTTTGATTTTTTTATTTTTTTTTTCTTGAACGCTTCCTCTTTTCATTTCCCGCTATCCCGAGCTGTCATTCCACATCCCGACCAACAGGGGGCAACCCGAAATTAAATAACTCTTTTATTGAAGAAAAATTCTTAGCGGAAGTTCGTACTTGTTTGTCTTCCGGTTTACATGAGGCATGGCGAACTTGAACCATGCCGAAGACGAGCAAAACCACGTGAAAATGCCCGGTGAGCTACCCGCTGCTGGCTCGCCAGTCAAACCGGGTCAAGGGTCCTGTGCGCCGGGTGAAACTCCGAGCACCATCCCCTCGTTCGCCGCCGCCTCGGAGCTGCTGTCTGCTCCGTACTCCTGCCTGGTGCTGAACACGCACCGCAGACACGTCGCGCTGCCTCCCGTCTATCTGAACAAGAAAAGGACGGGGATACAGGAGGAGCTGGACGCCGAGCTGCTCAAGTTCTCCCCGAGGTAGGACGGTCTCTGCGGGTTTCAGCTGCCTGTGGATTTTGATCGTTTTATTTCTGGGTGAATATCAGACAGGAGGTTCGCTGTCAAAGTTGGGGATAGAATTTTCAAGCTTGCATCTGAAGGAAAGTAACGCACATTTTTGATGCATAAAAACTTGAGATCGATCATCCACATGGATATTTATAGGTATTTATATCTGAAATTGTTTGATTTGCTTATTTAATTGGGAAGTTCTCATTTTGTAATATACATAACGTCTTTTTTTGTTTTGCCTCATCTTGTTTTTCAGACGTTTTGGATATAAAAATATCTTACAAAGACCTTTTCTTTCTCAGATCTTTATTTGCATGACTAGACTTTTGTGCAAGTTCACAATGAAGGCAAGCCAATAAAGAGTTGGTTTTTCAGAGTTCTGTATGATTCAAGAACATGAAAGGAAAGTTGAGTGGAAGGAAAATGTACAATAGGAAACTGTTTAGAAGCAACAGAGCTTCACATTTTCTCAGACTGACTCTTTATTAGCATGACACATTCTGTACATAATAAATCTATAGATTAGCTTCCTGATATTTTCTATGATATAAGTAAGTGAGCTGCACCTGATGCTATTGTATCTTAGCAAAAAGTGCTGTCCTTCCACATGATGTAATTGCCTTAAATGTATCAGAATTGAATATGTGGTATAGCGCAGCAGGCTGTTTATGTTCTGCTCGATGATTAAACTCTATTAAACACAGTTTGTCATCACGCCCATCTCTCTTCCAGTCTGCACGGAGTTCCTTTAGCATATGACAACATCCGGATCGCGACCCAACAAGGAGACATTTACGACGACAGTGGCTACATCCACATGGACATTGAGGCCAACTTTATTGTTTTCCAGCCCAAAAAAGGACAGAAACTCTTGGTAAGGCAGACTTTACTTTCAGAGAATCTTTTATTCAGCTAACAGTCTCTTATTGCATTTTTACATAACGCGGTGTGTCGTAGTTTTGAGAAATTGAGCTGACCGGCTTTAAGTTGGCAAATAGCACCATCGACATGTTGGAAAAGCGACAATTTGTTTACCTCTAACTGATATTAAAAGCACTTTGTTCCAACAGTAACACGATCGCTTTGCCTAAGTCTGTCCAAATAATGTTTCGTTAATATGCACCAAGACGATGAATGTTTTCTCTGCCTTCGCAGGGAAAGGTGAATAAACTCGGAGTGAGCCACGTGGGCTGCCTCGTACACGGCTGCTTCAACGCCAGCATTCCCAAACCGAATCTCGTCTCCGTGGAAACCTGGAGGGACGGCGGGCCGAGGATCGGGACGGAGCTGGAGTTCAAGGTGACGACGCTGGATGCCGACGCCGCAGGGGTGCTGCTGATCAGGGGTCAGCTGGACAGAACCAGGTATGGGGAGGGAGCGTCTGCGCTGATTGGGTTTTAACCTGAGTTGATGAAACTCAGGTTTTTTTTATGAAAAAATAATAATAATAATAACATGCAGTAAATGTTAC